CTAAAAGCGGCCTTCTTAGACCTCTCTCGCTAATCTAAACAATAATAAAATAGCGTCATTTTTAAAAAATACTCAGGCCGAATATAGCGGCGATATAGCGGATAGCAGAATAGCAGAATTTTCACTTATTACATGAGGTTATGAAAGTGTTTTCAGCTCCCCTAGGCGTTATCCCTCTGCAGCCAGACACAAGGTTAGAAAATGTCTTATTCCTTTGTGTTTCATCCGTTAAAATCTCACAATTTGTCGAAATCATGGGGCCATCAAGTTTTAACTACCAGCGTACGAACATCCCAGGTCGGAGTGTCTTCGGAAGATTGTGGAATTTTATAACCATTAAACCCTTACCAAATCTTACCTGTTGTATGGCCTGTTGTATCTACGACCTTTCCGTAGCTGTTTTTGGCATGCAGTGTCTTGACCGTACACCAAAGTTTGGAGGGAGCCCTGGTGGAAGAAGCAGCATCTGCCTTCCTTAATCTGAGTGGAACAAATTATCGGCTGTGTTATAAGTTTACTACGTCGTATAGTGACCATATAGAAAAGTCTGTCTTGAGGCATTTTTGATCGATATTTCTCCTCAAACAAGAAAGGAGGTGCTGTATAACCTCTAAACTAGCAGTCTTATCCAAACAAAACTGGTAGAACATATTTAGCATGACAATTAGTTTTTGCGTTCGAGTCTACCGCTACACATACCCTGACTTCAAATGCATTTTGCTAGTCCTTTAGGACTGCTGAAGCATCTTCCCTCATGAACAGAGAAAACTCACGAAATCCGAGGATTTATAAAGCACCATACATTTCTCTTCCGGCCCTAATTTACGGTTCTTCTTAACTGATACCTATGGTCTTCGGTTTTAACAGACCCTTTTGAGTACGTTGTCCTCGTTCTAACTTCTGATTAATCCCAGTATTCCAAAAAAATAATTTTTCCGTCGAGGTAAAAACAGATGAATCCATTTTCGTTAAAAAGAGTTTATTATTCTATTTGAGTCTGCTAATATAGATAGTTAAGTCCAGAGCAAATCTGATCAACAATGCTTGCCTCTGCAACAGTCAGCAAATAGGCCACGCCTACCGCATTCGAAGAAGAGAGGGGGTCTTTATTGTTGAGAGGTCAAGCTAAGCCGTTGCATATAAGTTTCAATTCTTGTAGCTTCTGATATCAGGCTTTTCTATTTCAAATGGCAGATTGTTTTGTAACTAACATGACTTTTGGCCTGATGCTTATAACCACAGTACACTTTTCAGTTTGCCATATACGAAATGAAATCCCTGAGCACCTGCGCACAATTGGGAAAAACTTCGGTTACTGCGGCCTCTAAAGTCGTTACTTTGACTACCGTGCTTTAGGGCAGAATTCATACAAGCCTCAATTTTGATCGGCCCACAACG